TCACGTCCCTCTCAGATGCCTGCAATTCGACCGCAATCGAAATCGCAGATCTCGAGCCAAAGCCCGCGTATCGTTTGACCATTGCCGGCCGAGATACTCGACCTGTTCCATGTTAAACGAGCGACCATCGGGGATAATGCAATTCATTCTGCTTGATATACGGCCCAGAGATTAAGCACGATCGGGATTCGAAGAAATTCGGCTCTGTTATCGCGCTCGCCACGGATCCCCGTGTCTGACTTATGACGGCTTATACCACTTACGGATGAATTCTGTTTTCGGCTGGCGGCCCCTATCGCCGATTAGTCGGCGAGGATTCATCAGGCTTACGATAAGGGGAGGGAACGATCGGATATATAACGAAACGAGAGGGAGAACTTTATATATATACCCCACTTTGTACGGGATATTTAATTCAATAATCTGTAAATGGATATGAATTGAATTGAATCGAAGGAGCAATGAATGAAGCAGTGAGCGGATTAAAGTAAGTCAAACGGTGTTCTAATTTTAAGCTAAATAAATGTAAATTATTCGCAAATCATTGGTAAAAAAAAGAAATTGGGAAAAAAATTGAACAAATTCGGAAGTGAGTAATTTAATAAATTTGTGTTTGAACTTTTGTAGAGATTATACGAAAGTGACATAAGCTCTTTGTATAAATAAATTTTTATGAAAATTTAAGAGGTTAATTAAAAATTTCAATATCACTTTCTTCTTACTTACTTTGTATAATAAGTTTTACAAAATATAGATTAAAATATCTGCTAAACTAATAACGTCGACTAAGAACTAAGAACTTTAATATTTTTTCGTAAATTATATTGCATCTAGATAACCAATATATACTTTTATTTAAAAAAAGAAACATACGTATGATTATATATAATTTAATTAAATTTCCTTCGAAATCATTCGATCTGGGCCAATTTTTTACATTTACAGATTAAAATTCAGTCTGTTCTCAAATTTTCTACTTACAAATTACTCGATAATTAATCGTCACAAAACTTTTTCGAATTGTCCCGAAGAAATATATTTCCTGTACTTTTTTTACGTGCACGCATCATAGTCGCAATTGGAGTGGAAAGCTCGTGATATTTCGCTAGGCCCGTATAATTTTGTTTAATAATCGGTGTAACCAGGTCGATAGCTGGTCCGTACCTCGATTACGATGCGTAAATATGGTAACAGCTGCGTTTCACGCGGTTGAATTTCTATCACGTTATAGAGAATCGCGCGGTCAACTCGATTGCCACTACGCCTGTGAGAAAATTGCGAATTATTCGCGATGACGAACGCATCCACGCGTTAATTGCGTTATCGCGCGCTGCTGCGCATTTCCTCCCCCTCCATCGTAACACCGCCATCCCTGTATAACTCGCGAGACTTCTCTTTTCAACAGGATTTTTGGAAAAAAAGTATCTTTATTTATTTATTTTTTTAATTTTTTTCTAGCGTGAAATGATCTTCGAGAGAATTCAATTTAAATATGTAAAAATAGAGGATTTAAAATGACTCTATTAGAAGATTATCGTGCGATTATTTTTTAGTTAAAAAGTTATAATATTTCAATAAATTTTTTTAATTTCAATTTCAATTTTTAATTTCAATAAATGTTTCAATGGATAGAAAAATCGATCGAAAGAATCGTGTGTATTGCACTTTCGTTGGTTGGAAATAAATTTAGAAACGTTGTGGAAGAATAGCTAGAATGGAGGATGTGAAAAATGGTTGCAATTTGGAAAGTCCAGTTATAAAATATCATTTTTTGGATTTTATGGAATTGTAAATTTACGATTATTTATGGCAATTATGATGGAAAAATGGTATAATAGAAAATGCATGGAGCAAAAAATTGGAACTTTTTGATTTCGAATGAAAAAATAAAAATTCAAAGATTTTAATTTTATAGATAAATGTCAAATTTTTTTATTGTACGTAAAAATGAATTGACAAAAATACTAATTGAAATTTATGGAAAAAGTCAAATAAAGATATGGACATAGAATGTTGATTATAAATTTTTGAACTGCTTTATAATTTTATAAAAATATAATAATCTTCATAAAGTTCTTTTAAATCCTCTACTGGTATATTTTTAAATTGAATTTTCTCGAAAATCACTTCATTCTAAGAAATAAGTTAAAAAAAGAAAAAAAATGAAGATACTTCTTTTCAATAATTCTATTAAAAAACCATTTGAAACCTATTTTATAAACTATTTTATAAACAACCATTACAACATTCAATATCAAAATCTTACGTATCCAAACGCTTTCACCAATCCAAATTCTATCTAAATGCTATCGAAACCAGTATCTCTTTTTATTAAAGCATAAAGCAAATCTGTATTTCCATTTTCAAAAATCAAAAGCAGTAAAAACGACACGATACGCGATGACAGTCGAATTTTTATCGAGTGGACACTGGTTCAACAATGCAGCAAGGCGATTTGCTTTAATACTATAAAAGCCAATGCCATTGGATGTATACCACTATTGTACCGGACTTCTATTTTACAGATTCGGAACAGAGGAACGGAAAATCCGGTGGAAATAATCACGGTTCGCGTTAATAACGAGGAAATGTGTCGCCAACGATTCGAAGGACCATAAAATCGTCGGTTACAGTAGAGTCTGAGTAGAGGAGGATGGATATAAAATGGCCCTTCATGAAAATTCATGGCACCCGACGCGATCGACGTGGCTGGAGAATTTTAACGAGTTACTCCCTCCTATTGTCATTTGGATATGGATTTGCAATAAACGCGCGATTCACCTGTTTCGGTTATGCTCGAATGGTCGACTAATGTTGGTTCACGAGTGATTGATTCGGGCATAAAATCCAACGTGTTTCATTCAATAAGGATATTTTAATCGGATCTGATTTGAATACAAGATTGAAGTGGATGATTGGAAATTGTGTTAAAAAATCTTCATCTTCAGATTTGAAAGAATTATGATCTCGATCTCGAAAGAATTATAATTTATCTCAATCCTTCTTCTTATTCTAAATAAATCACAGTAATAATTAAATTTCTTTTATAATGTAAAGAAATAACTAATTGAAGAAATAACTAATATATAAATTGGTATATATAATGAAAGTTAGATATATAATATAAAAATTTATTTCAATTCCCTTTTTAATAAGAAATAATTTGAAGAGATGAATAATTAAAGCGAACAAATTCTTAATCTCTAGTTAGCGCACAGTAATTAATTTTTGTGTAACTATAAAGATTAATATAGTTGCAAAATAACATTGATACTTTACGGTTGAAAGAGGGTTGAAAAGTTGATGAAGAATTCGATTCGATAGCCAGTCATTGAAAGTTCTCTCTTGCCACCCCGCTAACAGTTCATTATTCACTGCGCGTCGACCCACCCCTCGATATCACTTTTGTGCCGGTGGAATTTCACGGCCATTAATCAGATTTAATCAAGAGAAAGTAGCCGGAAACCGAGAAAATTAATTTTGTATCAATTGCTCGATTAATCATTGGAGAGATTAGGAGGATAACGTACGTGCTCGATAGACATGTCGATTTTCTACGCGTGTGAGATTCTTGACTTTTTTTGATTGCTTTAGAAAAAGTTAGTCCGATTAGATTATCCGTTCAAATGGAAAGAAAGTATGGCGAAAAATATAAATAAGAAAATAAATGTATTGAAATGAAATGTACACTCTTAATATCGTAATAACGTCTATTCTATTTCCAACGAAATTTTAGCATTGCGATATGAATTATGATTCTTTTTTGCCGTCAATAAAATTAAGTTGATCAATTTCTTTTTTTTTAACTTGCTGTCCAAGCGAATGAGTATAATAAATGGTCTGTAAGAATTTAGAGAAGAGAGGGAGAAAAAGTAAAAGTAAAGAGGCAAGTCACGATGATCTTGTCGACAGTGGAACCTTTGCACATGTGATTACAATTCGCTCCAACACCTTCTGTCTACAGCCAATTAGAAACCGTACAAGCAATCCAGTCGGAAACGCCTTTGGAAACATTCTAATTGGCGCGATCGATGCTCGTAAACGTCTCTTTTAAGTTGATTAATGATCACTTTTGGAACTCGTTCCGTTAGAATTTCGATAATAAGAAGAAGGGATAAAGATGATAAACAGACTGCGAGAGAAATTTGAGAATATAAATTATTCGAATATAATTATTCATAACGATCTCTATAATATCGTCATCGAATCATATTGGATTTTTTTTTTCGGATAAACTCAATTGCATTAAATGGCGAATAATAACGATATATTATTAATGAAGTAATTATTAATCTATCTATCTCTAATAGTTATAATAATTTAATCATAATTTGTATAGTTTAATTATAATTTAATATAATTGATAATAATTATCACGATATTCGCGTAATACAATTTCATTCTGTGCCATCTCATTTTTTATTTATCAAAGGATCTGCATCCATAAACAAATAATAAATTGATAAGACAAAATCGTCGATATTTTACGAAATAATCGCGACGAATCTCGACGAGTAATCTCGTCTTTCATGCATGCAAATTTCAGTTGACTAAGTGGGAAATAAAAATTTCGCCGAGTTTATTTAAAAAATTTATCAGTGACACAGGGAACGGTGGCTAAAAGTGTAGTAAAAGCGGAATTGCATAATACAGAGCGGTACGAGGATCGAGATATTTCTTCCGCCGTGGAAGATGGTCTACCCGTGTTCCGTTTCCGTGAAATGAAACCTCACAGATGTGTG